TTTTTTTAATTAACACTAACATGTCTAAGGTGGGTAGTGTAGTTATATAGGATAAGGTGATTGCAGATGTTAAATGATATTCCGTTTTTCCTAACATGGGTTGGTTGTTCTAGTTTTTGCTTATTGTAACTATAAATTTATAATACCATATTTATTTTATAACTCTTGTAGTTTAAAGGTTACAGCTACATGCCTTTCTTTTTGTGACCATTGATGGAAACCAACCATCTTCTACACGTTTAAAGGTAAATTTTTCTATTTGAATTCTCAAAAATCTCTCTCATTTTATCAAACAAGATTTGTTTTTTACTCTTGGTGACTTTGCTTTCCTGTGCAATTAAAGTTTGTTTTGAGATCTCATTCTCTACCGTAAAGACTAAACCAAAGATGCCAAAGCCATAATTTCTTAAACTTTATTGTGAATTTCCACCATTTTTCTTTGAAGTCTATATGAAAATTTCTTAATTATAATTGTTGTTAATGCATTGAAGGTGGAGATAAAGATGATGGAGAAAGTGCTCAAGCTCTGCATCACATGAGCGTGAGTCTATCTTATTCTATGACTTTGGTTTTGTTTCCATTCAACTATGAGTTTGAAGATCTGGACTTGGATCATATTATTCTTACAAACTCTGTTCTACTTATTTTGTTGATTGATGAAACCCTAAGCCGCTTTAGGTCATCAAATAAAACTAGAATGTAGTCAAGAGCATTCTAGGTCATCTCCCAAGAGAGCAATGCACAAAAATTATGGTTCACTTGCCTACAAATTAAAAGAATGGTGATATGATTTAGCTATGTCTACAATGCAAGAATTAAATGTTTGTAATTTCTGATTTAAATGTGTTGATGTAAATGAATGAGATGATGAGCTTAAGTTAGAATCCCTTGTGATAATTCTTGAATTCTAGAATTGCAACCACACATGTAATGACAATTAGCTTAATGAAGAATACTCTAAAACCTTTAAAGTGTTGTGAAACATTGCATCCAATGATCACCATGAATCTAAGCCAAGTGAAGTGAAATTAACAATGTAATTCAGCCTGTTCATAGACACTCAATTCAGACCAAATTAAGTGACAGGAAAAACCTCTCAAACCAAATTCATATAAACACATATGGATCTAGCTTGAAATATGAAGAAATCTAAACAAGAACATCAAGAAAATATGAACACATTTAAGAACGCTTAACTGAATTCAAAAATTCTAGAACTGAAATACAAAATCAAATCTCAATCCAACATCCACAACTTCAATCTAGCATGTAATTGGAATCAAAATCATAATCCAACCTGAACAATAATTTTGAATCCTTAAAAGAAAATAGAAGAAATTGCATAATTGAAATAACAAATTAAGAAGGCAAATCTGAAATACTCAAATCACAAGTTCATCTTCCTTAAAGCTTAATGGAGAATCAACCTCTCATGTTCTTCTTCTTCAAACCAATCAGACTTTGAACTTGAGAGAGCACCTTGAATCTAGAACTTGTGGATGAGTATTGGACAAAATACAAAGCTGAAAATGGAAGGATGTAAAACAAAATTGATGGAGAATGAGGAAGAGAATGACACAAGGTGGAAGAATCAAAGAGAGGAGGCGAAGAACAATTCTAGACAGAGGAAGAACATAAATCAAAATTCAAGAAAATGATGAAGGAAATCTGAAATGATGGAACTAAGGATGAACACGTGATGAACAAATCTAGACAAAGGCTGGAAGAAAACAAAATTGATAAGGAATTGATGCTGAAAACACAAACTTGGAGCTGGAATAGAGAAGAACTAGATCTAGAACTCCCAAGACTTAATGAGAGGGGCATGAATAGGAAGCTGGAGATGAGAGAATTCAGAGAGAATCAGACCAAGACAGAGAATAGGATGTATAGAATGAGGTCTAAATCTAAAAAATTGGCTTAAGTATGTGTAACTAATTTTGATCCAATGGTGATGATTCCAAGGCTAAGATTTGAATCAGTTATTCCAGCTGGATAAAATGAATTAAAATTGAAGAATTAATTTTGAAAATTAGAGGGAATGAGGCACCATAGGTTCTGATTGAAAGAGCATGAGAAATGTGATTAAATGCATGGACAACGTGACTCTCCAAGCTTTGCTTCAGTTGCCACGTGAATTCTTCATGGATTCGGTTGTGATTCACGCCTAAATTGCTTCTCCCTTACATCATGATGATGTCATCTTAATATTTCCCTTGGATTAGCTTCAATTCACACATAAATTGCTTTTCATTTCTCATGATGAGTCATGATGATGTCATGTAATGAATTCTTGGACCAAGTTTCAATTGACACATAGAAATGCTCCTTGCCTCCCTTGCCAATTATTTATTTAATTCCCTCAATTACTTTCTTCAATTAGGCTTGCCAACTCAGCCAATGTGAATTTGAAATTGTAATGCCACCTAAGCTCCCTTCTTGCTCTTGACTTCTTTCAAGAATATTGACTTAGTCTTGCTTATTGATCCAAATTTGCTTCCTCAAAAATCTGAAAATAAAAGATACAAACCTAAATAAATTCTAAAAAGACAATTAAAAAGGAAGAAAAAAAGAATTTAAGCCCAAAAATTTAATTAAGCATTTTCAAGTATTAAAGTAACCACTAAATAGCACTATTAAGGTCTATGAAGTCAATATGTGAAACACAACTAAAAACAAAAAAAAAACCCTAATATGCACTATTTGGTGCCAAAAACCAAATGTATAACATGTAAAATATAAAGTAGATTATTGATTTACATGTTATTCAAGTGATTGTTATTTTTGTATTTTGGTCATTAAGATAGAAAAAAAATAATTTTTTTTGCATATTTTGCCATAAATGAAAATGAAGAAATGGATTTTTATATATTAGAGATATGTGTTTTACTTTATTGTCTCTTTTTAAATTCATCTTTAGACATTGTTTGTTGTATTGATTCCTTCAAGTTATTTAAACATTAGTAAAAAAAAATTACTTTCACACGATAACATTTTAGATTTTAGATTTTTTAATTATTATTATTTATTTAAATTATTTTTATTTTTTTTGGATTCCGTGCATTGCACGGGCCACATACTAGTTATAAAATAATAGCCAAATTCCAAAATTCTTTCTTTGATTTTTTTGACCCTTTTTTTACTTCTATAACTTACAAAATTATAGCTTATAATTTCTAATTAAAATTTAAGAAAGGTTATTGTTTGAAATTTAAGGATAAGAACTGCCGTCAAGTATTTTTTTTTTTTACTAGTTATAATCAAATATGTTAGGAAAAATATTTCACAAATATGAGGTTCAATATAACTTCAAAAATCAAGATAAATTTGTAACAAAAATTTTATTCAAATTACTTATATATATATATATATATATTAAAATTTTTAGATTAAATAACTTTTGAAAAGAAAACTCAAAGAAAAATATTGTATTTTTTAAATAAAAATGAGTTAAAAATCTAGATATAAGAAGTCGTAAATATGGGAAATTTAATTGTAAATCCATGAAAAAAAAATAATTTTTAAGTGAAAATTTATTTAATATATTTTTGTTTCTAATTAAAAACACAAATAGAGTTGCAGATCATGGTATAACAAGTTGCAAATTAATTATGCGTAATTGCAAATCCCTAAGATTGAATAATCCCGAAAAAAATTAATATTAAATCCTATGATCCTCATTAAATATAGAAAATGGAGTTGCAAATCAAGGTACAATAAGGTGCAAATTCAGGGGATATAGTCGCAAATTCCTGAGATTGGAAAAATAATTGTTCAAGAGAAAATTCGAAGCTAAATCTTAAGTTCCTAATTTAAAATAGGCAATGAAGTTACAAATCAAGGTGTAATAAGATATAAATTTTGAGATATAGCTGCATATCTATGAAATTAAATAAATAATTTCTGAAGAGAAAATTTATTGTTAATTTTAAAAATGGGAAACATAGTTCAAAAGTAGCGTATCACAAAATGAAAATTTGAAAGTGTGGCGGCAAATTCTCTAAACTAGACAAATAATCTTTCAAGAAAAAAAATTCTAATCCAATCAATCGACCTTGTTACATACTTCTGGACTTTTCTACAACAATAGACTTTTGTTACACTAGTTTTTTATTATTATTATTATTATTATTATTATTATTATTATTACTTTTTTTTTGCTATAGTAAAGCTTCTTTAATTTTGATTTTAATTCGTTCTACTATGGTATAGAATAATCCTGTCTACCATGAAAAGCTATGCTTTTACACACACACACTTTTAATTATAGTAGACTTTTAAATCTAGTACTTTTCTTTTCTATTATGATGAGTTATTTTTACTAGTATATGGTTTGATTAATCTTGTACACTTGAAACATTCTAAATAATTTATTACTGTAATCTTATGTATTTGTGGGAGTAATCACTTCTCAATTGAAATATCCTTAAGGCATCTTTTATGACTCATTCATTACAAGGGACAAACTTTTTTCAATGAAAGTTTATGATATTAATTGCTCTTCCATAAAAATTTCTGACACAAAGTAGTTCATTAAACCCTCAAATATTTTTTACCTAATGGTCAATGCTAGTCAAATATAACTCTATGGGGACATTGTGCTGTCTTTAAAACATTTGAGTAATATTGCGCTAATCAAAAGTTAAAAATACCTATTGCACCTAATAAAAAATTACCAAGACAAATTTACTATTTAACCCTTATAATAACTCCATAGTTATCTATAGAAATTAATTAGTTTAAAGTGAACATATAAATAATACTTTAGACATATAAATAATATAATAATAACTCTTTCTATAAAATGAATACAATTTTCATCCAAATAATTGACATAATGCACAATTGTTACTAACTAAAGATAATTCCATCCCCAACAAAATGGTACAGAAAAGAAACCATCCAATTTTTCTAATAATTAAAAAGATATATGCCAACTTTACTTTGTCACTACGATAGCGATAAATACAGGAATCATCCATCATTCTTTGAAAGACTTAAAATTATTCTTTTTTTTTTTGCCAGATAAAATTATTCACTTGGCAAGTATTAACTGGTAGCATTATAAGAGCATTCATATACCATACAAGAGTGTCAAGGCCTTTAGCGAGCTTCAACCACAGTAATACTCATCTCATTTACAGAATCAACGCCTTCAGGATTTGAACAATCACGATTACTTTTCTTGAAAATGAAGGCAGGTTGTTTTGGAGGATGAAGAGTTAAGTCATTATCTAACATGGAAACAACTTCTAACATTGTGGGCCTCTCAGATGCATATTCTTGCACGCATAAAAGCCCAATTTGGATGCATTTCAAAACTTCATCCTCAAGGCATGTTTCTCCTATTAATGATGGATCAACGATCTCCATAGCTCTACTTTCTCTCCACAGGTCCCAAATCTGAATAATTGAATATATTATAAAATTAGACTATTGAAGGAAAAATTTAATTTTAGATGCTCATTTTTCATACTTACATGTCCAACTAAAGTAGAAGTAATGTCATCATAATGCCCGTTGCTCTTTTTGCCAGTAACAATTTCTAGGAGTAAAACTCCAAAGCTATATACATCAGATTTTATTGAGAACAGCCCTTTCATTGCATATTCAGGTGACATATATCCATTGTAAAAGATTGTTGAAATTTATCAAATGGTCATCTCAATGTAAAATATTTAAACTGCAAAGTGTGTGTACTTGACTTTTTTTATTGTTATTTCTGACATATTTGTTGGATTGTCCACTCTATGGATTAAGCCCAAACCCAAGCCCAAATATATAATGAGGCATTGTCAAGATATAAAAATGATTTTAGACCCTTATGTGCAGTTCTCCCTTTTTTCTTTGAAAATGGGAGGGAATAATTTTTATAACTATCCATGCATGCTCATTCAGGGAAGAGGGGGCATGCATGGGTTAAAGGCAGAGAATGTATACTGGTTTCAAGGTGCTAGAAAAACTCTCTCGGTTTCTCTCTTTCTCTCATTTTTCTTTGTGTGTGTATTTGTTGTGTTGAAAGAACTAGGCTTTATTGTAACTTTAATTTGTTCCTACATAGTGAACAATCTGGTGTGGCAAACAATTATGTTTTCTCCTCTAGTCACAATATTATATGTCAGATAAATATGTTTTGAGTTTAAAAGAACCAAAAAGACGAACTTTAACAAGATCATGTTTTAATGTTATTTAACCATGAATAATGGATTGAAAATTAATTGGTATAACACTTTACACTACTTAGATATAAATTTTGATGATATCAAATATTCATTCCAATATAAAGTCTTTATTGTTTAATTTTAATTGGTATTTTAGTGAACTTTGGGGAATGAGGGATATAAGCAATGTAATGCTAGGAAACTATATAGTGTTGCATTGGAGAGTGCTTACTAGGTTCCCACGATGCGGTTTGTGTTTCCTTCAATTTGATCTCCATCGAACATTTTAGCCATACCAAAATCTGCAATTTTTGGATTCAATGTAGAATCTAATAAGATATTGCTGGCTTTTAAGTCTCGATGAATTATTCTTAATCTTGAATCTTGATGAAGGTATAACATTTCTCTGGCAACTCCACAAATGATATCAAATCTTTTCGTCCAATCTAAGAGTACCTTTTTTGCTTGATCTAATAAATAAAAATTTTAATCTGTTAGAAGTAAGAATGTTTTACCAATTTTTTCTATTTTATCAAACATGAAAGTTAAAACTAAAAAATTATATAGGAAATGAAAAGAAGACATACCAAAAAGAAAAGAGTCCAAGCTTTTGTTTGGCAGATATTCATAGATCAACATCTTCTCTTCTCCATGTATGCAATAACCTAAAATCTTGACAAGATTTCTATGTTGGAGCTTTGCAATTATAGAAACCTCATTTTTGAATTCTTCAATGCCTTGTCCAGAATACTTTGACAGCCTCTTCACTGCTATTGTCATTTCATCGTTGAGTAGACCCTAGAGTCCAAAATCTGTAGTTATTTTATGAACGTATGCATATATTATCTTTGTTTTAAGAAACCAAAACCAGCAATATGTAATCATGTCATTATATATTATGTCTTTTGCCTTAACTTGTTTGTCTTGCTATAAATTAATTGTTAACATATGCCTTGATCTTAGAAATAAATATACGACATTTAAGTCTAATTACGTTCAAAGAATATATGACTACCTTATAAACAGAACCAAAACCGCCTTGTCCAAGCTTGTTAGTCTCTGAGAAATTGTCTGTTGCTGCTATTATGTCACTTAGATCAAATAATGGTAAATCTGAATCATTGTTCTGATGTCCAGCAAAAACATGTTCGATATGCCTACTTTGTACTGTATTAAAAAGAAAATGATAAGAGATGAGTTGTAATACAACTTCGCTATCAAACTAGGCAGAAAGCAGGATTACATACAGGCAATTAATTGAACACTTTAGAATGAAAAGAGAAGAAAAACATACCTCTACTTAGCTTATATGTTCAGTTCAGAGATAGAGTACAGATATGCTGAAAATCTTATTGAAAATCAGCTTACCTCGTTTCTTGTTCCATACAAACCAATACGCAAAAACAATAACCAAGAGTATCAGGCACGTAGAAACGACTACGAGTGTCACCATCCCCTTCTTTCCAAGTGAACCATAAGGCTTGCTTTCATATTTTCCTGCAGATAAGTTCATACCAAAGAAAAATCAGGGTTTATTTCTACGGGGGAAAAGCACCTATATCATGCATATACCTTTTTCATCAGGGTTTATTTCTCTTGTATGGCATGTTGAATGGTAGGATACTATAAATAATTATGGAAAATCTGATATAAGCATAGTGTATGTTGGAGAAAAAAAAAATCCAACATATGGAGCCACACATGTAAATATTAAAAATATGTGGTCATTATTATAATTAAACCAAAATAAAGCAGTCTGTTATATTTGGAAAATTTTAAGATGTGTAATTGTTATGGAATTAAAGTGTAGAAACCAAATTAATATTTATAATTTATTGAGGGGCCAAATTGTAAATATCACAAATTTTAGTCTATAAATAGAGGTTGTGATCCACAGGTGGGACATAATGAGAAACTGGCTCTTTGATCCTTTCCAAAAAATCATAAAGAAATCTTGTAATGCATTTGATTATAAATTTAGGCACGCCTTTGCACATTCAATTTCTTCTACTCCTCTGAATTGATATGGGATCACATTCAAGTTTATAGATTTGATTGTAATCATCTCTGTAATTTGAGTTTGAACAAGATTGATCAAGAACAACCAATTCCAGCACTGTATACTGTCCTTATTTTAAAACTTTTTTTTGGATCTTCAATCAATATTAGTATCATGCACATGACATGGCCATTGATTTAGAGACCACTAATTCAATTTCCATAATATTAAAAGGAGGTTATAATTTATTATTTAATCAATTTTAATGCGTAAAGCAAACAATAGTAGAGTGATATTTGTGAATAGCTTATTAAACTAATGTGTGAAACAGTTGCTTATTCATTCAATATTAGAAAAAGAAGTGAACAAGAACGTACCTAATTCAGATGCATCCACGCGCACGTATAAATCTTGTCCTTGGCCTTGGTAAGTCCTAATATCTTCCATATCAGCATGCCACGTCAAGCACCCACTTTGTGAGACCACATCTGCACTCGTATACGCTACACATAAACAATCCCTTAAGCACATCTCTTCACACCCTTTTAAGCTCATAGTCTCACTCTTATTCACACGTGCTTTTGACGTATCTGGAACCTTCACACTTGCCACCTTCACAAACCCATCCCCACTTTGACACATGGACATGTTCTTCTTCCTCACACACCCACTCGACCCGTTTCTCATGTTCCACTCTTGCGGGTTCACGGGTTCGAATCCGGGCAAGCACACACACTCAAACTTGTCCTCGTTATACGGGTCACACTTACTATTTGACCCGCATCGTCGATAGTAGTCACAGTCCTCCTTCGGACCGTACCATATCTGCAACCATTTTTGCCCATTAGGTTGCCAAATAGTCCATGTCTCATGGCCCATGTTGTCAAGCACCATTCTTAAGAACATGGAAGGTTCCATGAGTTGGGTCATCACGACAACTTCGCTAGCATTGTCAATAAATCTTACTTGGAAATTGAAGTTTGGTATCATTTCAGGTACACCACTCAATCCTTGACCCGTCCAAGACCCGCCCCGCCAAAATGGAGCACCGTTTCTATATATGAATGACTGAGGATAGCCTGTTGGGTCGATCCTATGGCTCACGCTCCCCAACCCTGGGTCATCTGGGGATTTCCATGACGTGAGGAACATATTGAAACCGGTTCTCCGATCCACTCCGATTTTCATGAACGGAAGCAAAGTGTCACTGGGATAATCCAAACTCTGCCACAGAACTTTCGTTATTCCACCATTTCTTGTTATCAAAACCAAGTTTCCTGAGTCTTGAAGCTTAGCAAAGGAGTCACGAGAAGATGTGTTTGAAATGTTGGAAGACCAAATAGGAGTTTGGTTCGAATATATATCATTGTGAAGGAGAACAATGTTTCCATGAGTATCAATAGACAAAGCTCCAGAAGTATCATTAAGAGGATTTTGTCTATTAGCCACCCACACAACGGTTTGGTTGGAGAATTTATGATACCATATGCCAACGTACCGGTTCGTTGAAGAATTATTTCCGGGGCTGAAGAAACCGAAGGCGAAAGTTCCACTGTCGGAGAGCAAAATGTCACCATCTCTGAGTGATTGGCTTGGGGATATACTATCAAGGGAGAGACAAGAAGAATGAAGAACCGAAAGAAGGAAAAATGAAATATTTATCAGAATTAGCTCTTGCTCATAACAGAGCTTCATGGTGGGGATGCAGCTGAAGAGATAAGTTTGGGCTGAGTTTCTTCGATTGAGATATTACTAGTGTGCGTGTGATTTTATTTAATGTATCTTATAAATTGTGACGAAGGAGTATAGTTTTTTTCTTATGAACATTACGTACAGAGGTCTCTAGTCAAATTTTCTTGGAACATGATATAGTCCCCGCAAGGAGTAAACCAGAGACTTTTACTTTTGGTCTTCTCTAACCAAAAAGTAAAAGTCGTTATGATTTGTAAGTTAAAAGTCATTGGTCCAGCTTGCATTTCTTTCATCAGCCAAAGGTATAAAAGTCGTTGGTATAATTTTAATTTTTAACTTTCATGGGTCAAAGTAAAAGTCTTTGGTAGACTAATAGAATTTAAATTTCAATTTAAGAATTCGAGAATTTATTTATTTGTTTATTTCAATGGTCTTGAAATCTACCTCGTCAGTCTTTCCTTTTATTAATTTTCGAAAGAAAGTGATATTATGGCCCACAAGGTATAAAAGTTCGTTGGTATAATTTTAATTTAAAAAAATTAATCTTTTAATCCTTCAACTTTTAACTCACTTATAACTCAATCCTTCAACTATGACTCATTGCGACTCAATCCCTCAACTATAACTCATTGCGACTCAGTCCCTTAACTTTTTGATTCATCTATAACTCGGTCCTTATTTTTTATTTTTTTTAAAAAAATTTCTTATCAAATAGGAGGGATAAAAAAATGCTCATGTATTATTTTAAAATACACTTCTCTTGCTCATTGATGTGAGATATAAGCTAACATAAAAAAAAAATTAACAAAAGTTAAGGGACTAATTTGTAAATGATTTAAAAGTTGAGGGACTGAGTTATAGGCGAGTTATAGTTGAGGGACTGAGTCACAGTGAGTCATAGTTGAGGGATTGAGTTACAAGTGAATTAAAAGTTGGAGGACTAAAAGATTAATTTTTCCTTTTAATTTTTAACTTTCATGGGTCAAAGTAAAAGTCTTTGGTAGACTAATAGAATTTAAAATTCAATTTAAGAATTTGGAAATTTATTTATTTGTTTATTTCAATGGTCTTGAAATCTACCTCGTCAGTCTTTCCTTTTATTAATTTTCGAAAGAAAGTGATATTATGGCCCACAAGCTAGTCCGTATAATTAAGGCACGTTTTTTTTTTTTTAATTCCTTGCGGTCTTTGCAATGACTCTGTATTGTATGTTTTTCATAAGAAAATTTCAAAGAATCAAATATTATAATTCTCTCAGACTTATAAACACATTCAGTCTCCTCTGAGCATAAGAATTATTCTCTCCTTTCAGTGCTATATGTTGCGGACAGATGATTGGCATCTCTCTGCAGATCCTCTGAAGAACAGCAAAGGATTCCTTAGACAGTGCCATAAAAGTAAGATCTCTTCTACTATATTTTTTGAAATGAAATTTTTTGTCATTGATTTTTTTTTCAATTATTAATTTAGTTCTTCCAAAAGACTAAAGGATTGATAGACCGCACTTTCATGGTTCATATTCATACTAGAAATCAGAATGAAACAAGCGTTCACCCTTTTGTTTTATAAGAGATTTCTGTTTTTATTGAGCCCATCTTGAAACACCTAGGTTATATTTTTAACAAACGTGTCTTCCGCCAAAAAGCATATAAAAATAATTCTTATTGTTTGAAAATGGTGTAGGGAGAAATATTAAGATCACATACATGGAGCGAACCACGTTATGTACTCTCATAACTACATAGAAGTTCTAAACTAAAGCATCTTTTTTCCCCAAAATTGAATGTATTTATTTATCTACAACCTTTTCTTCTGTTTTTTTTTTTGGCTTTCGCTTCGATATTTTAGGTCTTTAGCCCAAACCATACATGGTTATAAAATTATAGGGACAAGATTGATAATGATTAATCAAATTGATAACTGAAAAAAGTCTAAGGACCAAAAATTCCATTTTCCTTTTATTAGTTTTCGAAAGAAAGTGATATTAGAGCCCACTAGTCCTTAATTGTGCATGGTTTTTTTTCTTCCTATTGTTGTCTTTGCAATGACCCCTGTGTTGTGTGTTTTTCACAAGAAATTTAGTGTTTTTAATTTATTGGGGACCTCTCTTTTGCATATAAATTTGGATCTTTCTTTTCTTTGATATCAGCACTGTGTTATTATCCCAATCATGCTTGCCAAACTGTTTCTGCTATCAATATCACTAACAAATCTATTCCACCCAAGCCACTCTACAAATTTGGTTCCAGACAAGTAAAAAAACAAAGAGAATCCATGATGATGATTGTGTGCATGCATATACGTGAATGCACGAAATGGAGGTCCTTTCTGAAAACAAAAGTAATGCATCAAGTGCAGCGATTAAAAAAAAAAAAAAAGAATAAAATTTCAGTAAAAATAGCTACTAATTTTGTTGATGATGATTTTGTGCGTGCATATATGTGAATACATGAAATGCATTTTCCAAAACGTGCATGATGATTTTATCATGGATTTTGAACACATGGTATAACTATAATATCTAAATGCTATACATGCTATTATTTTGATTTGTTTCTGAATCAAATTGGTATAATCATTCTCAAAGTAATATATTTCAAATCCCAAACTAATCTAAAGCATTGTTTTGTTTAAAAATATTTTGCATAATATGGTCAAAAAATACTATTATGATGTATGGCTCATAGTACGTGGAGATCAATCTTCAAGATTGCCTGGCGGGTCAATGAAGTAACATCACTTGTGGCTTGAAATGCAGATTACAACACAACAAGTAAAGATTTTCTCGAATACAAGAAAACCAAAGTTCAACATATGCAAAATTTCACCATGTAAATAGTATATATTCATCTGGTTCCTCCAAGTTTGTGGCAGTTGAGGAAATTAAAAACGCCTATTAGTTCTTCAAGTGATGGAATTACTGTCTATTTTTCTCATACTTTCAGGCTTTTGTATAGGTTTCATCACTGCTTTAGAATCCATTACATCATCTGTTTTCATCAGAGATTCAGAAACTGTAAGTTCAAACAACAGCGCATTCAAACTTGGATTCTTCAGCCCTCAAAATACCACAGATCATCGCTATGTAGGAATTTGGAATATCTCCAACTCCGAAGTCATATGGGTGGCTAATAGAAACCAACCATTACACGATTCTTCTGGGATCCTTACTATATCTGAGGACAACAATCTTGTAGTATTGAATGGAAAGAAAGAGGTTTTTTGGACATCAAATGTATCAAGCAAACAATCAAGTCCCACTGCTCAACTTCTTGATTCTGGTAACCTTGTGCTTTTAGACCACACTGGCAAGACTTTATGGGAGAGTTTTCAACATCCAAGAGACATGGACTTTCCAACTTTGGCAATGATCAGTACCAACCAGAAAAAAGGTTCATCAAGAAAAAGCCCTCCTACAAGAAAACTGGCTTACACGACCAGAATAAACAAAGTTGGGAAGCAGCGAAGGGTTCAAGAATCTAATTGTGATACATATAACTATTGTGGGACATATGGGATCTGTGACTCCAATAATTCCCCAATATGCACTTGCCTGAAAGGGTTTGAGCCTAAGAATATAGAAGAATGGAATAGCCAAAACTGGACTAGTGGATGTGTGAGAAGGGCATCACTGCAATGTGGGACTGGTAAAGGCAAAGATGACTGGTTTCTTGAGCTGCAAATGACAAACACTCCGTCATATTCAACTCCATCATTTTTTCCTAAGGACACATGCAGAACTCAGTGCATAAATAATTGCAGCTGTATAGCATATGCATATGTTGCTTCTCTTTCCTGCATTTACTGGACTGGAAATTTAACAGGTGTAGTAAGATTGTCCAGTGGAGGAACTAATCTCTACATCCGCCAAGCCCATTCAGAACTCGGTAGGTACATTTTGAGTCAATTAATTATTTGATTATATATAAATGTTTCTAAATGAGTTTATTACATTGCTATTAATACAGGTAGGAATAAGAAAGACTTCAAAGTAGTTATCTCAGTAACAGTGATAGTAGGAGTGATCATCATTGCCATCTGTGCATATGTCTTAAAGGCATGGACTGCTAAACACACTGGTATATTTTCCCAAATCTCTGCTGTGATTTCAAGAATAATCATGTTCTCTTCAATGGTTGGTTACTAAATAAATAGATAGGTCACAATACAAATGTCTTTCTTTGCCATGGTTTTTGAATAATAGGATCTAATCTCACTAGTACAAAATATAATTTTAACTACATATTTTTCGCCACAATTTATAGAAAAACTGTGGTAAAATAAGTTATAGTGGCAAAAATGTAAATAAGGTAAAAAAATGTAAGATTTATGGCCACATACATACAATCCACCTATCGTTATAAATGATTTGACAAGCCATTAAACAAATAACGTAATTAAAATAAATTATTAATTCAAATTTTAAATTTAAATTATTAAGAAATATAAAGTTGTATGAAATATATATATATATATATATTTAATGTGTTTCAATTTGAAATTCAGACATATAAATTTTAGTTATTTTTAAAACTAAGATTATTTTAATTTTTATAAATATTTTATTATAAATATATATAAATTTAATTTTTTTGATTTCAGACATAATAAATGTGCCTGAAATCAGGCAAACTTATGGTGACAGGCATGATAAATGCCTATCGCCATATGTCTAATTCAGGCGTTAAATATGCCTAAATTTTGTAAAATATAATAATTAATTAATAATTAAAATTTTTACGTAAATTTTTTTAAGTATTTAAATTTTTAATATGTCTGAATCCAGACATATTAAATTTAAACTATTAATAAAATTAAAATTATTTTAATTTTTATAAATATTTTATTATAAATATATATATATATATATATAAATTTAATTTTTTTGATTTCAAGCATAATAAATATGCCTGAAATTAGAAACCTACGGGAACGCCTGTCGCCGTAAGTATGTCTGATTTCAGGCATATTTAATAAATCAAGCAAACTCACGGCGACAGGCATAATAAATGCCTATCACCATATGTATAATTCAAGCATTAAATATGCCTAAATTCTGTAAAAAATTATAATTAATTAATAATTAAAAGTTTTACATAATTTTTTTTAATTATAGGTGATTCTATAAAGAAAAAACATAGCATTTATGGTCACAGTTATAGTTGTAATTGTGGTAAAAAATGAATCTATGGCGACAGTTGTAACCACAATTGTTGCCAAAGATGCGTCGCTCAAGCATTTTTCGCCACAGGTCCAAGAGAGACATGTGGTGAAAGATGATATTTTTTGCCACAGGTGAAAGTAGAACCTCTCTCTGTGGTGAAAAAAACCATCTTTCGCCACAGGTGTCTCTTGGACCTGTGGCAAAAGATGATATTTTTTGCCACAGGTGAAAGTAGGACCTCTCTCTATGGTAGAAAATAGTGTAGTAGTAAATGTTTATTTTTTGTGACAGGTATAATGTAATTGTGGCGAAAAATGCTATTTTTCGTCACAGGTCTCAACTTTACCTGTGGCAAAAAATAACATTTTTCACCACAGTTACATTATATCTGTCGCAAAAAATATACATTTACTACTATACTATTTTCTACCACAGAGCGTCTTCTGTCGTCAAAAATACATTTTAACTGTGGGGAAAAATGCTTTTTGCACTAGTGTCTATTATCTTAGTTTTCAAAAGTAAAAGGAAAAGAAAATATAATCCATTTTACTGACTTCATTTTATGTATTGATTTATTTCTGGAATTTTTGGTCATATGATGCATGCATTCAGCAAGAAAAAAGCAAAGCAAAGCAAAATTATTGCTGAACAAGGAAGAAAACCTACTACTTGGAGACCTGAAAATAGCTAAACTTGAGAAGCTACCACTGTTTGATCCAAGAATCATTGCAACTGCAACAAACAACTTCAGCATCGCTAATAAGCTTGGGCAGGGTGGTTTTGGTTTAGTATACAAGGTACCAATATCTTGTGAAATTTTACTTCCAAATAATCTGTATGATCACTCGATCCTATTATATTTTTTTAGTTTAATTTAATATATACATACATATATATATATATATATATATATATATTCCATTAGGGAGAATTGCAAGATGGACAAGAAATAGCAGTGAAAAGACTTTCAAGAACATCTAAACAAGGACTGGAAGAGTTCATCAATGAAGTGGTTGTGATTTCGAACCTTCAACATCGTAATCTTGTAAAACTTTTAGGCTGCTGTATCGAAGGAGAGGAGAAAATGTTGATATATGAGCACATGCCTAATAAGAGTTTGGATGCTTTCATATATGGTTAGTCCATCTTATTATGTCTGCTAATCATCTATGTTCATAGAATCCTTGCAATTACATTATAGTTATCCCTATCATTACATTACTAGTTTCATTCTTATTTTTTGAAGCTAGAGTTTCATAGGATTGTTCTTGCTACGCTTTCAAACAAACCAAGGTTTAGTTTTTTATATGAGTACATCAAAATCTTGTAACTTGGCGGATTAAATTTGAAATTTATCTTATTGTAAAACAAAAAGTAACCAGCTCTTTATTGTTGTTTATGTAGATCCTATCAGAAAGAAGATTTTAGATTGGAAAAACCGCTTGAACATAATTAAAGGAATTGCCCGTGGCTTACTTTATCTTCATAGAGATTCTGGACTAAAAATTATACATCGAGACTTAAAGCTAAGTAACATCTTACTAGATGATCAGCTTAATCCTAAGATATTAGACTTTGGTCTAGCAAGAATCTTTGAAAGCAATGAAGATGAAAGCAATACTCAAAGAGTTGTTGGAACATAGTAAGTTTGCACTCTATATAATTTTGAAATATCACTAATAGATTCATATGATTTGAACTTTACCATTAATGAATAATGATTAAGTGCAGCGGTTACATGCCACCTGAATATGCAATGGAAGGATTATTTTCAGAAAAATCAGACGTGTTCAGCTTCGGAGTTTTACTATTTGAGATCATCAGTGGTAGGAAAAATATAAGCCTTTGTGATCATGAACATTCATTGAACCTCTTGGAACTTGTAAGCCTCTCCGAATTAATTATGGATCAATTTTTATTTTTAACATAAGTCTACAAATTTATTGACAGTCTAGGCTTCTATAAACTCTTAATGTATTTCCTTTCAGGCATGGAAATTATGGAACGAAGATGGTATCAAGTCTCTCATAGATGTGGAAATATGTGATCCAGTTTACATCAGGGACATTGTGAGATGCATACACATTGGATTTTTATGTGTTCAAGAACATGCAAGAGACAGGCCTTCTATGGCCACTGTAAATTCAATGCTCAATAATCACATTGCTAATCTTCCTCCGTCATGTCAGCCTGCATTCATACATACAGAGGAAGTTTGTGCCAAGTGCGAAGTTGTCTCATAAAAGTAATAAGTCATACTCCGTTAATAGCATCACTTTCACAAACATTCAAGGGAGATCGTGAATGATGACAACAATGATGGTTATAAAGACTATGGATATGTTATGAGTCATATATCAAGGTGTCTCACATTCAAAACCACGAAGAGGGCTACCCACAAAGCTAATGACAAGGAATTCAAGTGAAGTGTCATTGAGTGAATTGATGTGGATTGCAACCGCAATGCATATTGCCTCTTGAGCAAAGGTGCATTGTTATGAGATCTATATTGGAAAGTCTCGTAGTTAAGGTATTCTCCTATCGAATAAACTAGTCTGGATTGTCCCGATTTCTCTATTTGTTTGACTCACTCTTTGTATTTATAATTATACCTACTATTAATTCCCAAATATGGCAAAGTGATTCTGCTCGTTGTACAGCATATGAAGTGCACCTTACAGGTAATGCGTAAGATTGGACAATCAATTATTGTTTTTAGGTTATGTAAAAGGTTAATTACCATAAAGAACCTTGCAAGTTTTATATATCACCTGGATGAGTATTATGATGGTAATATATTCATTGTTGATACCTGGATTAGGATTGAATTAAACAATCAAGGATGAATATTTTATATTCTCTGTGTCAAGCAAAAATATGAAAAGATCGTGAATGTATATTATCATCATATATTCATGATGCCCCAAAAAACATTAATTTAAGAAGACAAAAAGGGACGTTGAAGCTTTCATTTGTTCTGTCTTTGGCATCCTGGACAGTAATTTGTTTCTGCAACGAGCCGTTAGCAGCGGCGGAACCACTATTGCATGGCTACCTCTTCTTACACATGATATGAGTCTCCAAATATTTAGTCCTATGAAAAAGGTTAACCGCTAACCCCTCCCCTCTAGAAAAGACACGAGAAGATAGAAAGAATAGTTTTTTGTCCTGTTTATTCTACTTATATATTTTAAAAGGAGGAATATTATAAGGTTGTTTTTATCGTTTCAAGATACAATTATTATATTTTTTAAAAAAATACTCATAATAAATAAATCATTTTATATTCATTTTAAAGTAAAACATATTATTAATAAGAATGAATATAAAAAGATGATATTAGTTTGAAGACAATTAACTACTTTATGAAAGGTGAAGTTAGTTTAAACACGCCTTACATTTTTAAACGGGAGGAGTAAATATTAGTGTTAGAAATATGCTATTAAAATATGTATATTTAATGTTACAAAAAAAAGCAAGCATATTTAATAGGAAAGAAATTAGAAACTTATTAAATTTTTAAATAAAATTAATACATTTTAATATTTTTTCTAGTTCTGATAAAACATGTTAGACATGGCTTATGTAAGATTTGAGGGTGACTTCCTCATATTTATATTAAATAAGGATAAATATAAAAAAATGATATCAATTTAAAGATAATTAATTAATTTATTAAAAGATATGATTCGATAAAAAATACTTTATATTTTTTAATAAAAAAAGTATATTTAAAAAAAATTGGCCTCCGCTCAACCTGAAGCCTGGATCCGCCCCTAGGTTATAATATTTCAGGAACGTCAATCTGCACATGTTTTTTTTTTTTTTTTTTGCGTTTGAATTATTCTTGGACCCAAAACTATAGTTATTCTCAAACTACTATCAATGTACAGCATAGGAGCATGGAAACACATACATTCATATATATATATGTGTGTGTGTGTGTGTGTGTGTGTGTGTGTGTGTGTGTGTGTGTGTGTGTGTGTGTATAACACCAAAATTTGGGCAAACAAGAATGAAGAAAATGTCAACTAACGTATGTACATAAAACAAGTGTCACCAAAGATCGAAAGTGCATTTTCAATGTAGTCATAGCATCTCACCGGGTCAATGAAGGAACATGGTTGAAGCCAAACGTTGGCTTTCTAATCACATGAAATCCAAATGACACGGCTGATCACAACTTTCTCGTCCACATACCATGCATGACCATGACTTCTAGAAAAATTTATTAAAAAATTAAAAAGAAACTATATACATATATATCTAGATAAGCATGGGTGTGTGTGTTCAGATGAAGGGAGATAGAAATTAGGGAGGATCTTGGACAAAAAGATTAAAAAAATGAAGACTACCATAGTGACATGAAACAAAGTCTTCAAAGTATTGCTCCACGATAAGAGGATCAGTGGTGCGCCTTCATTATAGTCATAAAACAATTAATTAGATTACTCTCTAGTCCAAATCCCTGGTAAAAGTCATATTTACTCTGTTTTAGTATTTAACCAGACATTAGCACTCTGGATTTTTTCATCTTTTCTTCATCTTTCAGAAGAAAACAAGAGCAAGTCAATCTTTTACATGCCAGATTCTCTTAGTAGTCCCTTTGGTTTTGTACTAAGGAGTGTTCCTTGAAATCATGGGGATTAGTTCACTTAGAAACTTATTACCTGTTTTTCTTGTGATTTCTGGCTTTTGTGCAGATTTTTGCCCTGCCTCTGACACTATTACAACAACTCAGTTCGTTAGAGATTCTGAAATTGTAAGCTCAAACAACAGTGAATTTGAACTGGGATTCTTCAGCCCTGAAAATGCAACGAATCGCTATGTAGGAATCTGGTATGTTTCTGACTCGAATGTCATCTGGGTGGCTAACAGAAACCAACCATTGAAAGATTCATCTGGAATTCTCACAATATCTGAGGACAAGAATCTTGTTGTATTGAATGGAGATAAAGAGGTTGTTTGGACTTCAAATATATCAAACAAGGCATCCAATTCCACTGCTCAACTTCTCAACACGGGAAACTTAGTCCTGCTAGATGACACAGGCAGAACATTATGGGAGAGTTTCCAACATCCAGGTAATTCATTCCTTCCAAATTTGGTAATTAGTACTAACCAAAAAACAGGTGAGAAACTGAAGGTTACTTCATGGAAGAGCCCTTCGGATCCGTCCGTTGGAAGCTTCTCCAGTGGCCTTGAACGCCCCAGTACGCCTGAAGTGTTCGTCTGGAATCAAACACAGCCATATTGGAGGTCAGGTCCTTGGAATGGTCAAGTGTTCATTGGGTTATCCAAGATGTATACTTCCTCATATCTAAATGGATTTGACGTAGGAAGGGAAGAAAATGGGTCTGTTCACATAACATATTCTTTGCCAAATGAGTCTTTCTTTGGAACCATAGTTTTGAGTTCAGAAGGAAAACTAGTCTTAACCACCTGGATGAACAAACTCAAAGTTGGGATGCGAACTGTCCAAGATTCAATCTGTGATATGTATGGTTTATGCGGGACATTTGGAAGCTGTGATCCCAGAAATTCCCCAATCTGCAGCTGTTTGAGAGGATTTGAGCCAAGGAATGCCGAGGAATGGAATAGACGAAACTGGACTAGTGGATGTGTGAGAAGGGCATCGTTGCGGTGTGGGAAGGTGAAAAATGGGAGAGATACTGATAAAGATGATGGGTTTTTGAAACTGCCAATGACGAAAGTGCCAGATTTTGCAGAGAAGTCATATGGTTCTGAGGAAATGTGCAGAATTCAATGCCTAAATAATTGCAATTGTACGGCATATGCATATGATGCTGCAATTGGCTGCATGTCTTGGAATGGAAACTTAATCGACGTTGTAAGATTTTCAAGGGGAGGAGTGGACCTTTATATCCGAGAAGCCTATTCTGAACTTGGTAGATTTAGCATTTCGACAGAACATTTAATATTTTGATATTTTTTTACTATGTTTATTTCTCAGCTTCCCCAATACATATATTCTAAACTATTTATTGCAATGAATGCAGAAAGAGAAAAGAAAGTGTTGAAAGTAGTCATCATAGTTACAGTGGCAGTAGGAGTAATTATCATTGTTGCTGCATATATTGTATGGTGGTGGGCTGCTAGACATTTTGGTGTGTTTGCCATTTCATTATTTAAGTTATTTGAAGAATATATATGTTCTGTTTCTCATGTCTGTCTTATTTTTTTCACTCTTTTGTCTTTTATTCTTATTATGCTTGCATTCAGCTAGAAGGAAAGGAAATAATGGAGCATTAACGCTGGAAATAGAAGAATCACATTTAAAAAACCACAGGGCAAACCTAATAGAAGACCTGAAAATAGCTAAATTAGAGGAGCTGCCACTATTCGATTTTGGAATCATTGCTACTGCAACAAACAACTTCAGTTTTGCTAATAAGCTTGGAAGAGGTGGCTTTGGTACAGTATATAAGGTAACTTAACAATGTAAAGCTTCAAATAATATTTATGAAGTATTATCTTTTTCTTAACATATTCTTGTAGGGAGAGTTGCGAGATGGACAGGAAATTGCAGTGAAGAGGCTCTCAAGAGCATCTGGACAAGGGCTAGAAGAATTTATGAATGAAGTGGTTGTTATTTCAAAGCTTCAACATCGTAATCTAGTAAGACTTCTAGGTTGTTGCATTGAAGGAGAGGAAAAGATGTTGATCTATGAGTACATGCCAAACAAGAGTTTGGATGCTTTTGTGTTTGGTTAGTTAATTGCTTACCTCTATCTTATATGCGGACTTCGCCATCTTAAAATTTTTCTTGTTCAACCGCCAAATTTATTATAAATCCTTATCTTTTCCTATATGAATTTCATATATTCTACCAGCTTTTCTAAGTCCTTTAAAGTTTGAAACTGAAATTATAAAAAAGGATCTTATATAGTTTTTTTGTTTAAGAAAGATAAAGCCTTGTACTTTTCTTAATTCAAACACGTGTTCACATTTTGTCAATCAATACGTAAAGCACCATTTCTCTTGTATTTTTGTAGATCCTATAAAAAAGAAGGCTTTAGATTGGAAAAAACGACTTAACATAATTGAAGGAATCTCTCGTGGTGTACTTTATCTCCATAGAGATTCTAGATTAAAAATTATTCATAGAGATCTAAAGCCTAGTAATATCTTGTTGGATGGAGAGCTTAATCCAAAGATATCCGACTTTGGCATGGCAAGAATCTTCCAAAACAATGAAGATGAAGGCAATACAAGAAGGGTTGTTGGAACATAGTGAGCATGTTTTCTATCTCTCTATACATAATATTGTTATAACCATGGCATATTCACATGATTTGATCTTACTTTTAAGGATTAAATGCAGTGGCTACATGTCACCTGAATATGCTATGGAAGGACTATTTTCAGAGAAATCAGATGTGTTTAGTTTTGGAGTTTTGCTGCTAGAGATCATTAGTGGTACGAAAGTCACAAGTTTTTATGTCTATGAACACTCATTGAGCCTTTTAGGATTTGTAAGTCTCTTAAATTTAACTTTGGTATAATTTTAGCAAAGCTACATGGATGTGTATTATTTTTCTTACTTCTGATTTTGTTTTCAGGCATGGAAGTCATGGAATGAAGAGGACATCATATCTTTTATAGACCCTGAAATATCAGCAGCAGATTTTATCAATGAAGTTAGAAGATGTATGCACATTGGACTTCTATGTGTCCAAGAACTTGCAAGAGACAGACCTTCTATGGCCACAGTAATGTCAATGCTTAACAGTGACATTGTTAATCTTCCTCCTCCATGTCATCCTGCATTCAATAAAAGGCACGGTGTATCAAGTTCAGAATCTTCTCAACAAAGCAACAAATCATGCTCCCTCAACAGTGTAACTCTCACAAACATGCAAGGGAGATAGAAGACTGATTAAGAGAAGCCAAGGCTAAAATAATAGTGCTAAGATGCTTGGGACAATTTTCATACTGATTATGTGTAGATAGGAAATGTTCTGCTGATGCATATGAAATATCCAAAAGATCATTAGATCCATCAATGTCTTGTGCAGCAGAGCAAACAACAAACAATGATGAGTTATGTTTCATCAATAAAGTAACTGTCTCAAATTTTGAGGGGATAGACTGGGGTGCTTTTATGTCTCTATTCCATTTGAAAGATCTTAAATACACTCTTCCCCAGTATACCTTCAAATCTTCAACAGGGCAGCTCTAAATTTTTTTTATATATATAAATGTTCTACATTAATAGTACTAAATGTTTAATATGTTAATTCGCTATAGTTCATGAATATTCATTGTCATGGTTCCTCTTTCGAATGCTAGATTGTGAATCCATGATGTGATTTCTGTGTTCATTCCAATCATCATATGTAATCATATCAGGTTAGATCCTCCAAATCTGGCAAAGTTCTAATAAAAAATACTCTTCTTATATCTGCTGGTGGTGTTACAGCATAAGAAATGGTGTGACCATAAGAAATGTGCCAAGTAGCTAAAGTGTGTAGGGTTGGGCAATTATTTCTTTCCGCTGAATTTTGCTAAAAGGCGTCATTAAGAACTATAGTTTAATCTCCTATTCCTATTGACAATAGCTGAAAACAAACAACAGAAAAGGAAAGAATTAAATCAGTTGTTGATGGGATATTTCTGGAAGGAAAATACCATACGAAACTATAGTTTTATCTTCTGTTAGGATTTAAACACCTAAGACACATTGCAACACTTCTTCGATATTTTCCACAGATTCATATACTGCAAGCACAAATTCTCGCTGTAGAAAATAGATAACATATTTACAAGTCAAGTAATGTGATCAAGGACAAATATTGTATACATCCTCTGTCTTTGGCAAAATTGTGAAAGGACTGTGGATATCCAGTAGTTTGTTAAATCATCATATAAGAAGAGAAAAGAGAGAACAAAAGCGTTCACTGGGAGAATATAAGGACTAGGAGGATCTACTGGTATAAAGACGTTTTGACATGGGAGCCAAAGCAAACTTTTCAAACAACATTTTAAAAAATTATTACAACCAAGTTTCTGTCTATGTCTGCCGGAAACAAGGGAACAATGTGAGACATCCGGTCACAGACGTTGACATGAGGAACTCATATTGTCTCTGTCAATGTCCAGTGTCAGACATAAGCTATTCAATTTACATCTAGCCGTGGACACCAGAGTTGACAAGTCAAACACACAGGTGTATCTGGCACCATTTGTGGAATCAACGAGCACATTCGCCACCGAATATGATTATAGACAACAGCTATGAGAGGAAAACAAAAAATTTCATGGTGTGTTTATATTAATGGGGATTTGGATTTAGATCAAATCCTTCATTTGGATACACAAAATTTTTTGAACTTATATTGGATTCAAATCCAAGTTGATTTTAAATTATAATTCTTTTTGTAATTTCAAAATTCCTTTACATTCCAATCATTTAAAATTCTATATCATTTTAAACATGTTATTCTCTTCACGTTTTCAACATTGATGCATCTATGACTTCTATATCTTTTTTCATCTCTTGTCAGTTAAAAAATATAAATAAATTCATTATTTTTAATTTTTAATTTTCGTTTTGAATATTAATTTATTAGTATTCTTTATTTGAAAATTTTTTAATACTCGAATAAAGAATTTTAAATACATGAATTTCAAATGTTTAATCTAAAATTCAAGTCTAAATCCATCAATCCAAACATTATGTTAGGGTTTTTGCAAGAGCATTCCAGAAATGGTGACTTTCTTCAAGGTTCTAGACCATTTTCATCAAGAATCAGGGGGATTTGAAGCACCAAACATTAAACTAAGGTTGTGTTTGGATGAATGGATTTAAGTTAAAAATTTAAATTTAAAATCTCATATTTGAAATTCATAGATTCTAAATTCTTTGTTTGGATGATATAAAAAATTTCAAATTATAATATTTAAATTTTATATTTGGATCTAAAGTAAAATTTTAACTTTTAAATTCTATATTTAAATTTAGAAGAAACTTGGAAGATTAGTCAAACTCGATGATTCGAATGACCGACATCCAATAGGATCAGACAAACAAAGCTGACTGGAATTGTGGCACTGATGATGACCAAGATAAGACCTTTGACTTCCACCGAGGTCGGATAATCGTAGCGACGGGGACAAAATGACTAACTTTGACCGAGACCGGACCGACGGTGACGACAGGCATCGAATAATAGACTTCCATCAAGATCAGACCGATGGTGATGACGAGGACCAGACGGCCGACTTCCACTAGGATCGAATTGGCAGCGACAACGGGGACCTGATGGCAGACTTCTATTGGGACCCAATCACTGGTGGCGACGGGCGATGGACGATCGACTTCCATAAAGACCTGACAACGACGACGGGACAGGACGACCTACTTTCATTGGGACTGGATCGATGATTATAACGGGCACTGGATGGCCAACTTCCACAGAGACCAGACCGACAATGATGGGGATAGAACAGCCAACTTTCACCGAGACCGAACCAACGGTGACGATAGGGACTAGACGACGGACTTTCATTGGGACCCGATTGGCGGCGGCGGCAAGCATTGGATGCCAACTTCCATAGAGACCTGACTGACGACGATGATGGGGACAAGATGTCCAACTTTCACTGGGATAGGACCGACAACTACAACAGGCACTAGATAGCCAACTTCCACAAAGACTAGACCGACGATGACATGGATGGGGATCGAATGGTTGACTTCCATAGGGATCGAGCCGACACCAACGACGAGGATCAAACGGCAGACTTCCACCAGGATCGAGCCGACGCCAATGACAGGGACAGTAAAGCTGACTTCCACCGGGATTGGATCGACGCTAAGACAGGGATAGGATTGCTGGCTTCTATATGCACCATATCGAACCAATGGTGATAGCGATTAGATTGAAGGGATGGCGACAGAAGGCGACCGTCTGGTCCTCGCCCTGTGGAAGTTGGACTTTCGATCCTCGTCACTGTCGTAGGTTTGGTCTCTATAGAAGTTGGCCATCAGGTTCCCATTGTCATCATCGATTTGGTGCCAGTGGAAGTCGGCTGTCCGGTCCCCATCATCGTCGTAGATCAGGTCCCTTCATAAGTTGTCCGTTCGATTTAGTGGAAGTCGTTCGTTCGTTTCCCATTGTCATCAGTCTGGTATCGATAGAACTCGATCGTCCAATCCCCATCCTCGCCGTCAATTCAGTCTTGATGGAACATGGCCTTTCGATCCCCATCCTCGCCGTCGGTCCGGTCTCGATAGAAGTCGGTCGTACGGTCTCCGTCACCCTTATTGGTCTAGTCCTCGTTGTCACCATCAATCTGGTCCTGGTGGAAGTCGGCTTTTCAATCCCGTTGTAGTTGTTGGTCGGTCAGGGTGAAAGTCCGTCGTCTAGTCCATGTTGTCGTTATCAATCAGGTCCCAGTGGAAGTCAGTCATCATATACTCATCGTCGGCATCTATCCGGTGCCAGTAGAAGTCTGCAGTCTGGTCCCCTTCGTCGTATTTGATTTGATCCCAATGAAAGTTGGTCGTCTGGTCCTCATCTTTGCCGTCGGTCTAGTCTCGATAGAGGTCGACTGTCTGGTCCCTATTAGTCCAATCCTGGTGGAAGTTGGCCTTCAGGTTGCCGTAGGTCCGATCTCTGGGGAAGTCAGCCATTTGGTCCCCGTCGTCACCATTGGTCCAGTGCCGGTGAAAGTTGGCCGTTTAGTCTCTATCGTTGCCGTAGGTCTGGTCCTAGTGAAAGTCTGCCGTCCCATCCCAATCAACAGTGGCAGCTTATTTTCGTCAACTTTGGGGGTTCGGTCCAATTACCGTTGGCAAGTCAATCAAACCTTCATACATTTGGATCAAATTACAAAAGAGCTTGAGTTAGGATTTGAAATAATAGGAGTTTAGAAAGGATTTCAAATTATCCAAACAATGGATTTGGCTCAAATCTAAATCCAAATGCAAATCCATGTGTATCCAAACATAGCATAATGGCATTGTTGTTGATGGGACTTTGGTTTGGTGGCAATGGACAGTCCGAATTTGCTTGTGATGTAGAAGATTTTCCAGTGAATTTGATTCAAGCCAAAGCTTTCTCTAGTCTTATTAACTTAAATCGGTGGGAATTAAAGTGTTTGGTTTTTAGACTAAAATCCAAGGTCGCTAAGGGCGGAACTTCAAATTATAGAGGAAATGCTTATTGGAAACTTCAATGTTTTGCTTCTGGCAAAAAAAAAAAAAAAGAAACTTCAATGTTTTGCTTGGTAACACTATTATACTTGTGAGAACATGAATTTGTTGAAGTTTTGTTGATCATGTCAGACTTTTTTTTTTTTAATTTTGGAGTATTTAATATGAATTTTTAAGAGATTTTTTTATTAGAGCAAATCAAGTTATGTTTACCCAAGGAATTAATTAGGTTATAAGCTTTAGATAACAAGGGTATTATGATTGAAATTCATTTAGTTTATTTTAAACTCAAGATTTTTACTCTAAAATTTTTCAAGATTTTTACTCTAAATTTTTTTTTAAAAAAAACACGTGTATATAAAAATGAGCTGAGAATTGGGACAAAAATAGTATGTAATGTTGGATCTGTTGTTGTAGGATTTGTAGACCTTTCTTATCTTTGAACATGTTGGCGGGCTTTGGGTTTGGTTGTTAGCATTTAATTTTCTAGTTTGTCATTGGATTGTTGTAGACACTTTAACTTGAAGGGCTGAAGTATCTAGTTTTATATATAAATTATTTTTAACTATCTCACCAAAATTAAAGAGAGGTAGTTAAGTGATTGATAAATATTGTTTGAAAAAGAAAGAAATTTCTCAACTTCTCTTATTAAATTTAGCCTTTTCATTACTAGAAAAATTAAAAGTGATTATGGACATGACATTGAGATCCAAGTAGTGATGATGTGACGAGTGGTGGGTGATATGTACCTTAAAAGTGACATGAAAGATGATATGATAGTGATTAAACCTACAAAAAAAATTTAATTATAAAATAAATTAGTGACAAAAGTTTACTAATTAGTGATGGATGTTTTACACCATATTTTTGACTGAAATCAGTGATGGACAATCTATCATGAAATTTAAAATTAATGATAGATTTTGCTATTTATTAACAGATTTGTCAATTGCTAATTTTAATTTTTTTAGTAGTATTTTAATCAAATCTCATTTTAGTATAGGGTGCACATTAGACA